CTGTCATTTTGGCGAAGTATATCTGTCAACTAAAAATACTGGTCAACACATGGCTTTTCAAAGTAAAGATGACTTTCAACAACATTTTGTGTAACCAGCACTGGATAGAATCATCAATGAGCTGGAACAGCGATTTGGAAAGGAGAACCATGAAATCAATAAACCAGCTGGGACAACGAGTCCAAGAAATACACATTTCTTGGAAAATGACAGAGCATTCTGGCAATAAGTGCTATAAACGAGAGTAGGTCTGAGAATTTTGCCAAAATCTTCAACAATACTGCGATGGCTCCCGAATAGACACATGCCTTGACCCGATTAGTAAACATTTGGGTTTTATACAAAAATGCAGAAATTAAATCCTGAAATAATAATTCCAAAGCTTTTTTATAACTCTCTAGATTGCTCTCAGTATTGTTTTCATAATTTCTTATTGGAAGCTTAAAAGGCAAAGCCAAAAGATCAGCTGGCACAAATTACCTGACTTTTGTGAAGATGGACTGATGTTAATGATCTGGGGCATAATCTGTCTCCTTCAACATGTCTCTTCCCTGCCTTTAAGCACAGTCTGTTACTTTGGATTTAAGTGGATTTTAAAAAACATGAGGCTGTTCTGAAAAATGGAAACATATTACCAACATAACATTGAACTTTACAAATGGATGTAAAAAATATTGATGTATGCAAAGTGAAAACTATGAAAAAAACCAAATATAAACTCGCGTTGGGAGAGAGATGAAGACTACAGTGACTCATTTGGTAACAAAGTGCATCTGAACGAGCACAAAATGAGCTTCCTGTTGCTGCGCAAAGGAGCTCCCTTCTGGACCTGAAGGTGCAGTAGATGGAAACGGTATAACTGTGTATAACTTTTTGGTTTGGATTACTCTATATAATTCTGTTACAAACAGGTGATTTGGGGGTCGCCAAACTTATCAGTTGACTTCTTAGTTTGTTGGTGGGTTTTTTTTTTGTTTGTTTGTTTTTTAATACTAACACTTGGAAAACAAACCAATAATGATCCCCAATGTGAACTTGGGCTGCGATTCCCTGCTGACAGAATCTTATCAGACAGCTTCACCCATGAAAAAGATCATAGATTCATTCTTACAGTCTGAAGTTGCAGTGTAAAACCTTCCTGGATTCACTGGGAAAGGCAGCACTGCTTTCTGTAACAGCAGCCTCATGAGTGAAGTTTCTCACTCCCCAGGACTGTAAGGATACAGCCGATAAAAACTGATATGGGACAAATGCCGAGGACAGAAAGGTCTATGCAGTGAAATGATGCATGAAATATTAAGAGGGCGGGTGTTTGGCAGCTTCATTAGGAGGCCAGGGGAAGCATTCTGCACACCAAGAAAGGATGAAGGCAACTGTGTCTTGGAAACTTGACAAAGAGACCTTTGTCTTCTCCTCTCTTGTTTGGTTTAGCATCGTCACACTCCTCTCTCTTCCCGGAAAATGCCCTCAGACACAGCAGAGGACCCTGTGTTTCTGTTTGGGCGGATGTACAGGTCTCCTTCAGTCCCCTACCCTTGACACACTGAGTCAGTCTCCTGCTGGATCCACATGGATTCACACAAACTATGGGAGTGGATGGAGGGAGCTCTCCTCCTCTTGTTTCAGCAGGCTGTATATTCAGCCAGACATTTCAAGATCAATTATTCTCAAATTTGAGTTTATATACAAGTTAGGGAATGAGAGATTTTTGAAAGACTGAATGAAAGATTTTTTTTTTTTTTTTGAAATGGGAGATCACAACTTTATCCCAGTGCTCAAGGGTTTATCTAGCATCCGTGCCTCGGTCCAACATGGACAGAGTTGATGGCAGGAGCACAGAAGATGGAGCTGATAAATAAGTGGCAGCAGAACTGCATAGAGTGCTGGAAGTACCTGCAGAAAGAAAGAATTTGCCAACATAGGAATGTGGAAGACAAAAACAAGCCAAGGAAAATGATTTTGACAATATTTGGGAAAATACCAGAACAGACAAGGTTGAGCTGCATGTAGTCAGATCAAGATTCCTTCTTTGAACATGAAGATTGCACAAAAGGTTTAGTAATATAAACATTTTACCCAAAAAAATGATTGCAGAGAACATCAAGAAAATGGTCTTTGAAAGATAAAATCCTAATTAACATTCTCAGGGTAATTTATCAACATTATAGACAGAAAGAACATTTACAAATTGTAAGTATTTCATAGATACAAATGAATAGGCAGTAAAATCTAAGGAAATGCTAAGGACAGAGAGAACCATTTTTTAAGGTAAATTAATCGTAATGCATTGAAGATATTTTTCTACTTCTGTGTATATACTATTGCTGGTCCTTGTCATATAAAAGCATGCTGTTACATACGGAAAAAAGAAAGTGCAACTTTTTTATCAGACAGCTTTGAGAAATGTTCCACCATTAGTACTTACCCTTTGTCTTTTTCCCAAGCGCCTGTTAGCTCCATGATGTTTCTGCAGAGGTAAATCCCCCCTATTAGACGAAGAAGACAGCAAGTGAACAGCAAAGGAAGCAAAGCAGCACAGAGACAATTCCCTTACAGGTCACAGGTCAACCAGTGCTTGTCCCAGTTGTTTAGGATCCTATTTGCTTTGCAGTCCAGCTGCAGGACATATTTTCAATATAGCTTCTTCCAAAGCTGTGAGGAGATTGTAGATTTTGGTTTTATGGTATCAAGAAAAAGATTCTCTGTTGGCAGATGTTTTCATGTCCTGGTTCTGCAAATGCTTTCTCTTAGATGCTTAACTGTGAACACAGTCACTAGGAAATAAGAGAGGGAATTGCCTGAATACCCTTGCTTGTCCCCAGTTAATTCACTTGGTTTTAGTATGGGTGGTTATGTTAACTGCAGGATGAATTTAGCAAAAGAGTAGCTATAGTAGCAGAACCCTGCACTGCCATCCTTTAGTGGTTATTTTGAGTTACACGTATTTCATGTGTAGTGGTACACAGCAGATGGACCGGAGGGATGCTGACTTCTTGTGTGCATTAAAGGTAGTTTCCACCGATTCTTCTGTTGCAGGGAGTGAAAGCCTGCAAATATTTGGTTTGAGAAGTGCAGAGAGGTTGCTCTGTTTCTGAATGGGCTGGAAAGAAAATAGGTTAGATAAATAACTTTACATTACTGGCAATGGATCACTGTGTTCCCCTGCTGTATAACCATGTGATCAAAGCAGACTCACTCTGTGGATAAGGCCCAGATTTGTTGAAAATACTGGTTGACTTCCTTAGCAGGCCAGAAATCATCTTACAATAAAGCACAACATGCTATTAGTTCTGCAAATTATTTCTCTGGGTTACTGTTGTTACAAGTTGATGACCACATGATGAGAAATTTAAATTTTTCACTGATAACACTGGTAACATAACAAAAACAGCAGAGGGAATTGCAAGCATTTGTATAAGTTCGTGGGCACTACAGTTAGACTGTTTCAAGCACCTCTTACCGCGTCTGTTATGAAAACAACTTCTATGATGCGAGTAGATTGATAGCACAATCAATCTTTGTACTGTACATAGTTTTAATACACTCTGTAGATTACAAAATTGAAAATAAGTTGCATGACATCAGAATCGCAGTATACCATGTCTCCAGGCTAAACTAGGAGATTATTAAAGAGGTCCTACAGTTTAAAACAGGTTTTATTCACTTAACTAGTGCCTGGAAATACCCTGTAGTTTCACTGTGGAAAACAGATATAGGAATTCTTTTTTTTTTTTTTTTTTTTTTTTTTAATTAACTATTGAATGATGGATTAGGCCTAATTGTCATGCCAAGCTTATAAATTGAAGAAAGACATTTCTTTTGCAAGATTCTGCCTTTATTTTGTAACACGTTTGAGGAACTCTCATATGGATTAGATCTCCTGAGTCTGCTAGTGGCTGACATATGTTCTGTGAAAAAGAAAAATGACATATTGTTTTGTAAAACTATTCCCTGTGTCTTCCCACTTGCCAAGCTTACTGTACATTATTTGAGGAAAAAAATGTTGTGCAAAATATTTTGTAATTTAGTAGGAAAAGTGGAACAAATGATTGCAATTGATTCTGTCAGTAATGGATATGCTTATGTTAAGCATAAATACTGGTACCAGGAATATTTATTAAGCTCTCCAAAATATTTTCACTTGGCAAATTTCAGATCCACTGGTTTGTACTCTGTGGAACAGGCCCAGCCCTGATTAACATATAGAAATTGAATGTTAATAATCAATACCACATGAGATGAGCAAACTGTGAAGAGCTGAATGATAACAGCTTTCACAACGCTTTTTGAAATGCACATCAGTAATGCTTTGCCATAGAAGCCTGGAAACAAAATACCATGTTTAACAGCTGGCATCAAAGAAACTTAGGAGATAACAGAGCAGAAAGAACATGCCTTTGGACTATTTGATATAGTGCAATTACATGCTAATGTGTAAAAGGTCCTTGAATGATATTTTTTCTTTGTTTTTTTTTTCAGGAGATTGCAACAGAAATAAAGTTGATCTTTGGAAATGAGGATTTCAAGATGATTATATTTCAACATAGTTCATCAGATCTCATGTGTTGCTAGTGCCAATATTTGGATAGAAGCATTCAGAGATTAACTGCTTCAAGAAGTGGTAGCAATGAGGATGTAGTGATCCCTACTTCTTCAGGGTCAACCCCAAATTCAGGACTTAGAATGATGCTCTCTTGCTTGACGTCTTGAGCTCTTGTCTTGGAGGCTCAGTCTCATCGTGTCAATCTACGTTGTCCTGTCGACTGCAGTTGCACCATAGCTCTAGCTGTGTTTCCTGCTCATGCTATATTGTGCACACTGAGGTTTTTCTTCGGTATCGCATGATGTGTTTGCAGGGATATTTGGGGTCTAAACATATTGTATGCACAAAGTTGAATTATTGTTTAGTTCTGTTGTATTTGACAGCATCTTTATCACAGGCCCTGGCATTCATAGAGATCTTCAAACACCCTGATATCTGCTGGAATGGTAACAGGGCCATGCAGAGCCAACCCAGGTTTCTGGAGTGTATTGAAGACATTTTCTTGAAGCAGGTGATCAATGAACCGATTAGGGGAGATGCTCTGCTGGACCTGTTACTCACAAACAAGGAAGAACTGGATGAAAAGGTGAAGGTCAAGGGCAGCCTTGGCTGCAATGGCTGTGAGACTTTGCAAGTTCTCATGGAAGACACACACCTGGAGGGAAAAGGGGCCCAGGAGAGCAGGTAAATCTTCAGAGACAACCTCCTTAGAGCATAAGAGCAGTCTATTGCAATATGCAGAAAGTAAAGCAAACATAGCAGAAGATCAACATGGATGAAGAGGGCGCTCCTGACTGAGCACAGATGCAGAAAGGAAGCACACTGAAGGAGGAAGCAGTGACAGCTGCCCAGGAGGAATAGAGAGACACTGCTTGAGCATGCAGAGAAGGAATTGCAAAATCCAAAGTTCAGCTGAGTTGAAATTAGCAAAGGATGTGAAGGGCAACAAGAAGGGCTTCTTGTGCATATGCCTGGAAACAGTGACCAGTGTCAGCCTCAGTCCAGTGACCAGCCAGCAAGTCTTTTGTGATGAGGCAGGTTCCAGGTCAAGCCAGGAAACGAAGCCAACAGGTCAGAATCAGTGCCAGGATCAGGGAGGTACGAGACTGGGCACTGACACAGCTGCAGCACAGCTGCAGCATGGCTCAGGCAGAGGCCAAGCGCAAGAGTCTCAGCTTGAAAGCAGCTCCCAAGGGAAGGACAGGCAGGCAGGCCCGTGCTGAGGCTGCCTCTAGCTTTCTTCCCAACAAACAGCTCCGATCAGCAAAAAGGCTAACCTTGAACTCAGCCAACTAAACTCATGAACCAACTGAAATCCTGGAAGGGGGAGATCACTCAAGGCCCTGATGAAATACAGGCTGGGGATTCACTGCCCAAAAGGCAGTGTTGCAGAACAAAACCTGGGGGACCCGGTGGACAAGGAGCTGAATGTGAGTCAGCACCATGCCCTAGCAGCAAAAAAAAAAGCTGACCGCACTCCAGGCTCTATTAGCAAAAGGACAGCCAGCTGCTGAAGGGGAGTCATTAGTCCCTCTGTCTGTTTCCTCTCTCCAGTTTTGGGCTCCCCTTCGCAAGAAAGACACTGACATACTGAAGCAAGTCCAGTGGAGGGCTGCCGAGATGCTGGGTGGCTGGAGCTTGTGATGAAGGAGAGGCTGAGAGAACTGTGCTTGTTCAGCTCAGGAGACGTGGCTTCAGGGGGACCCCCCCTGTTGTATGCCGCTACCAAGGGGAGGGTGCAGAGAAGACAGAGCCAGGCTCTTCACAGAGTTGCGCAGTGGAAGGACAAGAGGCAGTAAAGATGAGCTGGAACATGAGAAATTCTGACTTGATATACTAATTTATTTTTTGCTGTGAGGGTAGTCAAACGCTGGAGCGAGCAGGTTGCCCAGGGAGGCTGCAGTATCCTCCACCCTTGGAGATACTCAGAACCAACCTGCGTGAGGCCCTGAGCAGCCTGCTTTACCATGACCTGCTCTGAGCAGGCAGCTGGATGAGATGACTTCTGGAGGTCCCTTCCCACCTGTGTGGTTTCATGTGGCAGTGAGGTACTTCGGTGCAGTGTCAGAATGCAAGTCCTAGGACAGCACATGGAGGTTTGCACTTAGCAACACTTTTAATTCTCAGGAACACGTACGCATTATTCTGTTCCAACATCTGTTAATAATATAACAGAGTATGAAGCAAAATGACTTTCTAATGGAACTATTGAGAAAAGCAACAGATGGAGAATTCTGTGTAAAATAAGTAATATCACTATGATGTAATTTTTGTGTTTGCCTGTGACTCTGAGAACAAAATAGCCTGATCCTGTGGCTGACTTGCAGCAACATTTGAAAACTGCCGAATACCCTATGTTCCCTTTTACACCAGTGAGGAGTGAAGCCCTGAAATAAAATGGTGAGGTGGCTGCACAGGATACCTGTTGCCATCTTTCTGAGCTCTCTCAAGCACATTCTCTCAAATGCCAAGCAGTATGGTATCCTACCATTCTTCTGCGCTTACACTGGATCTACAGCTCCAGTGGTTAGGGCAGGCAGCTGGACTAGCTCCAGTAATTACAGTCATCAGCTGTATACTGCATGGCTATAGTAGGGCTGTACCGTCTCAACGAGAGTCTATTGGCCTTGCTTTTCTTGAGCTGTCTCTTTCTT